TTTTGAAGTAGCTGAATAAGACAAGTGAAGAATAGATTAACTTTTCCAGTAATTGGTTTTACATGTTGATTTTTATAGTAAAGTTGTTGCTCTTGTTGACAGTAAATGATTTTCCATCTCAAATGAAAAGCTCTTGTACTACCGAAGGCTATTCCTATGAAAGTAAATATGCTGATATATGCAAACTGACCAAAATCAATTGGAAAAAGGTTCATGGGCAATAAAAAAGTGCCCTGTGCCCTGATGACCTGGGGATATCACAAAAGTAAAGAGGAGCCGGGTACAGTGATGCATTGCGTTTGTAATCCCAGCAACTCAGGAGGCAGGGGATTGTACATTTGAAGACAGCCTGGGCAACTTAGCAAGACCTTGTCTCAAAATAAAATTTTAAAAAGGCTGAGGATGTAGCTCAGTGGTAGATATCCTCCTGGATTCAATCCTTAGTGTCAAAAAAAAAAAAAGAAAAGGAAAGGAAAAAACCATTATCACAGATTCTGAGGGGAGAAGTAAGGCAAAAAGAATAAGGAGGGTCCAATAAGTCTGAAGTGAAAGAGATGAGTGAAAGACTTGGAGGCTCAGAAGAATTGGTCAGAGGTTTACTCAGGTCACTGGAAGAAATTTACAGCCTACCAGCAAAGGCCTGTTTTCTCATGGGCCAGGAGACCTAGGCAAAGATCTTGGATTTGGTTTGTGACCGAAATCAAGATAGAATTAAGAACACAAGCTTCTTAAAGGGTGTTAAATTCAGAAATCCAGACCTGGGGAGTGTTTGCCTTGTCTCCTGAGTAGGACAGAGTAGAACTGACCAGGATATAGGAAATGCCCTAAGAGTGCTTCACCAGGCCTTGGGAATATTCTATCTACTGTGAGGGTCAGGCTATGAAGAAAAGATCATTGCTGAGGTTGAGTACCCATTATCTGATCTATAGCTGTGTATTTGGAGACTAAAGATGCTTCATATTTCCTCATATATGCCAGGGTTTTGAATATGAGTTTAAATGAGTCATTTCCCATCTCCAGGCATTAATCTCCTCCTCCAAAGGTTGATATAAATCTCAGCTATTATAAAGAGATAAATTAAGAGTTCAGGCATCAAAGTACTTTGATAATGGCATAAATGCTATCAACCTGAGTTATCATCCTTTGTTCTTCTGCATCACTCTTAATCTGGGTCATAGGAATTCTTACTGCTTCTCTATCATTTACTGGAAGTGTATATTATATCCCAGACTCTTTTTAAGCCATAGGCAGCATCCTGCTGGCCTTAAAGTCCTTTGTGGTAGATCTGCACTATATTATGAGCAGCAGCAAAGAAGTCTTTCTTGCAGATGATCTGGAACTCAGAGCTTTCTGTGATGCTTAATGTTTTGACTCCCTCAGACAGCATTAAGGAAAGGATTGTGTGTATTCTTCAGCAGTTGACTAGTCCAGAAGTACAAAAAGAAGCCACCAAAATGTCTTCCAGTTTTTCTTGGAATGTAAGGGGTTTTCTGTTGCAGAGTTGTGACCATGATATTTCTTCAGAGTAGCTAAACAAAGATTGGGACTTTTAGACAACAGCTAGTACCAGATAAATGTCCAAATTCACTTTAAAATATCCTGTTGGATGCAAAGAAGTTGGTAGGATAAATGACTTCTAAGAGGGCAGAGCTTAGGCCTCTAGAAAACCCATTCAAGAACTTTCACAGTCTTCAACCACAATCTGTCTTCACCATGAACTCTTTTAGCACCAACTCCAACATCCTTGTGCACAGATGCTCTGTTCTGTCACCCTTATGATCAGCATGGAACACAGAAAGATGCTTGGTGCCACAGGTTTCTTGAGTCTTTTATCTTTAGATAGACTTCTGACTTCCCTGGCACTAATCGGCCAGTATAGGCTAAGAAGTGGCTAGAGGCCAAAATATCTTTACCAGATAAATTAAGCACTATCAAATGAGACTGGGTCCTAAGACTTCTACAGCAAGGCCCCACACTATTTCAAAGATTATAAAGATGGGAAAATCCAGAGGTGAGAGGCCAAATGGAGTTCTATATTTCCCACTGTAGCATACAAAGAGAGGCAATTTAACCTAATCATTAAGCATAGGGTTGAGTCAGGAACTGTGCTCTGATCCTAACATTACCCATGGTCAGCTGTATAACTCAGGTGGGTCACTTAACCTTTCTGTATCTCAGTTTCCACATCTTTCAAAGAGAATAAGAAAGGGCTTCCTCATAGTATTACTAGGATAAACAAAATAAAATGGAATGATCCATGTAAAAACCTATGGAAAAGGTAGAAAAATACTATACAATGTATAAATCATTCAATGATAAGGGTACTCAAAATGTTTGGTATCCTCAAGCCTCAAACCCTCTAACTCATCCAACCCCATCTACAAGGCAATGAATTTCCTCAAAAAGAAAGCCCTTTTTCTTATTGCAGGAGCTTTGTTGTAACCAGTACCCCTCTCTCTCAACTCATGAGCCAAAATGACAACCTTGAGGGTCCTTTTTCTGGGAGTCCAAGCCATGAAGAGGCTTATAAAACATCTGAAAAATGCCAAGTCATCTGCCCCTCCAAACTTCTGCATAAGCCTTCATTCATAAAGCCAGGAGCAATCCAAAATGAGAAAGAGTTCCTAGGATCTTCACAAACCCCACTGCCACCCTTCAGTCACATAGGAAAGCAGCTTCCTCTTAGTGCTCACAGAATCCTGTAGGCCAATCACAGAGGCAACACAGTTTCCATGCTGTGTACAGGAACAGAACTGACCCTTGTCAAAGAAGCAGCAGCATTTTCTGCATGGCTTTCAGCAATAGCAAGCCCTAGGCTTTCTGATGAACTACTGACACCTAGAACAGCTCCCGTCAGGTCATTTTCTACTGCATCTTTCAAAGGACAATATTGATAATTCAAAACTTAACTTATTTGTCCTCTCAAATATATTCTTTTTCCCTTGCTCCCATCTCAATGGGCCAAGACAAACCCAAGTGTTGAGCCAAAGGTCTTTCTCTGTCTGCTTTCCTATTGTCAATCAGGCACCCAATCCAAAACTCATGATCAGATAGCTCTCAAAATCCTTGCTTCTTCTTCATTCCCACAGCTACTGATTTCATCCAACTTCCTTACCACTACTAAAGTGGACTTTCAAATTGAATTCAAGCCATGCCCCTCCTTACTAGAAATCCTTCAGTCACTACTACCCTAGCCCCAAGACTGAATCACAACTCCAAGCATAATTGACAAGCCCTCCAACCTCTCTGGTTCCAGTTAATCTTACTTCACAGTGCATCTCCTGACCCTATCAAGTCAGATTATCTGAAGCCCTAAGTGTCACAGGTTTTTTCTCCCTTTTGGGCCTTCCAAGTTGCCATTCCCTTTAACTGATGCAGTCTGTCTTTACACTCTTCACTAGCCAAACTACTTCTTCAAATGTCAGCTTAAAAATATGTCTTCTGAGAAGTGTTCTGTGAACACCCCCTCTCCCAGAGTTCGTTGCTCCATGGGGTACACCTTAATGACTACCACAGTACTTCATTATAATTCATTGTTTTTTTCTTATTTATCTCTCCCACTAGACTGTAAACTACAGTACAGAACTACCTTATCCACCAACGTGTGCTGGAAAAATATTTGAAACACAGTAGGAGATTTGTGGAGTGTTTTTTTTTTTTTGTGTGTGTGTGTGTATGTGTGTGTGTGTTATTTTTAACACTAAATTTATAAATAAATGGATGGATGGATGGCCCAAATTTATAAGATTAAATATTTAAGAACTACAAAGAGCCTATTTACAGCATCCCTTGAGCTTCTAGGCCAAGTAATTTTCAAAGGCAAGATACAGTCAAAAGACCACTAATATCAGAGGCTTTCCCAGACTTCAAGAGTCACCAGAAATTTCCAAGTTAACATTTCATTTTTACCATTCCTTCCTTTTCTAAACTCTTTTCTCAAGAATTATGGAGATTTACTGATCCAAGACATATATGGTGGTGGTGCCGCTGGAGAAACTTAGTGAGAAGCAGTATAATAAGCAACTAGCAGAAATTGGACTACAGTCAGAGGGATGTTGTAAGGCTGAAGAAACAAGCTAGGAGGGTATAGATAGCTGACAGAGTTTCAAGCCCAGGTCTAGATGGATGCGCCAGGAAGACTGAGGACACTAGATCTGAGAAAGAAATAGGATAAGTGGAACAGGGACAAGGGACACAAGAAGGGGTGAATGGAGCATATGTCTCAGTACTGAGGTCTAATCTAGAAGAAGGTAAAGGGTAGGGGTGAAGAGCATAGGAAGAATAGACAGATGAGGAGCTGTGGGGATCTGGATTATTGCAAGGGTAAATGAACACTGCTAGCAAGCTGGTAGGCAAGTAAACAGGAAGTCCTCTGATTATTCATCTTCAAGAGATCTCAGTATCCCTAGGTGCTCAGCTACCTCTGCAGGACATCTCTGCAGACAACTTACCCAACAAATTCAACTGATTCAAATTCTAAGGCAATAAACTTTGGGTTGTGGAGGCTACATAAAATACTTTCCCCATTTTCATTATAAGATGGAAAAAGTTCAGGCTCTGGATTACAACAGATCTTATCTTAACTAAACCTCAGCGCTTTCCTCTATGGCTATAGAGCTCTGGACTTCAGTTTCCTTAGCTACACAATGGTGATGCCCAACTGGTAAAATTGTTGGGAAGGTTAAGTGACATAATGCTTGAGAGGGACCATATATATAGTTCTAAGCACAGAGTAAGCAATCAATAAATTGGCTCTCTTTCCCTTTCCCCTAAATGAAGCCCAGTAGGCCCCATTTTAAGCATGTATGTGGGAGTGGAAATGGAGGTGAAGAAGGACTTATGTTGCTGATTCATTAGGACAGAAGGCATGAATCAGGACTGTGTAGCATCCAGGGATGGAATAGGGACACTCCTCCCCCCAACCCATCATCCTCATCCAGGTGCCTGGGGTCTTGGCCGGCAGTAGGTCTCATGTCAGGGGAAGCAGTCTCCATTAGTACCTTTCTCACCACATTTGGAGAGGAGTGCTGGTTGGTGTTGTCCATAGAGGGGACACTATGAGAAGTTTCCTCCCCAGATGTCTGAGGCAAGGAAGCAGCAACATTCTTCTCAAGAGGGAGAGCTGGCTTTGGGCCCTCAGATGCTGGAGGCTCATCTGTAACCTAGAAGAGGGAATAACAACTTTGGTGGGTTTCACTGCAGAGAGTAGCAGCAACAGCAAGATCCAGTACCCTTCCTGCTACTACCTACACATGGTGTACTGCTTAAAATTAAAAAAAAAAAAAAAATACTGTCATCTAAACTTTTCCTAAAACTACATCCTAATGTGATAGTCTTATAATAGAATCAAAAACAAGAATTCTGAGCTAACTCTGTCAGCAATTTAACAGTTATAATACAGGTTTGCGTTGTTTGTTTTATGGTGCTAGGGATCTAACCCAGGACCTCATGCATGCAAGGCGAGTGCTCTACCACTTAGCTGCGTCCCTAGCCCCATAACACAGTTTTGACTTACATTTAGCTACAGTCCTCAATAAACCCTGGGCCCTTTTCTGGCATCACAATAATTATTCCATATCCCCTCTCAAAGGATTGAAGTCGCTGGAGATGTCATTTGAAGCATTATCTGAAGTTGTCAATGTTGGAGCATAATTGTGAGACCTCACATTTTGAAATAAAGTAAAAATCTAAAGTAAAAATCAAAAAAAAATCTTTGATGATGTAAGTGTAGTTATAGGTTTAAAGGAGACACTACCACAGCAAAAGTGAGAAGGCGTAGTGACAAGGGGCTGTAGCAGGAGATAAAACAAAACAGGAGCTAAGAATGAAGATATGGAATGCAGCAAAGATTCCAGAAGTACAAACTATGCCTCTTCGATTATTTATATTTTAGCTGAGAAATTAGAGGAGCAGCATTCAATTTCCCCCTAAGGAAGGAACAAGGCCTCTTATGTGGCATTATAGAAAAGTCAGAAGACCTGGCTCCAAGTTTTATCTCTACTTCTAAAAATTGTATAATCTCTAGGCAAACTGCTTGCCCTCTCTAACCCCTACTTCTGCATGGTGATGCCTACTGAACAATGGTGTTAATGGATAAATGATATGGTTATAGAAAACCATATGCATAGCTCAGTAGATGTGAATAAAGTTTAAGTAATGTCTGTATAGTGTTAGAAAGTGCCAACCACTAGGATCTAATGAATACCTCACTCCATCCCTCAAGCCCAGATCTATGTTGGGATTAAGTACTATGTTCTCTGGAGCTTCTCTGAGGTAGGAGCTTGAATCTAAGGTAGTTGTGAAATGTGAGGTCTGAGCTTAAGGCCACCCTAAGATGATGAAACTGTTTCCTGTGCCACCCTATGACCGGAGAGGCTGAGTTTTCTGAAGAGTCCTTGGATGAGGCAGCTCACCTGCAGGGTGTCCTCCTGGCTCTGGGACTGGACAGGTGCTGGCTGCCTCACAATGTAGTTGATCTGCCCCACAATGGTTTGTTGTAGATGCTGAGGAGATTTGGTCTGACTCAGCTGCAGGCTGGGCTGCTGAGCCTGGAGGAGCAGCTCCAAGTCCTTCTGCATCTCCTCCAGCTCAAACTTATGGTGCATTATGTCCACATTCTGGGAACAGGCAGGCCCAGGAGGATTCTCATGTTGACCCGAAGCCAGATGCTGGGATGGAGGTAGAGGTAAGGGTGGCTGCTGCAGGGGTGGAGGTGGTGGAGGTGGAGGAGGTGGCAGCTGCTGCTGTGGCTGCTGCTGAAAGTGGCTAAGCTTCAGCTTCTGGTGGTGGCCAAACTGGACTTGAATGGAGGGAGTCTGTAAGGTGGACTGAGCATGGGTTCCTTGCTGAATGTCCTGTGGTGGGACTATGCACACGGGCTGGGAAGTCAGCTGCTGCTGCCCAGGCCGCTGGGTTGTGCTTTCCTGTTCTACAGGGGGCTGGGTTTCCAGCCATGGCTGTAGCAGTTTTGGGGGATGACTGCTACAGGCCAGCTCCTTCTCCCTGGTCAGCAGGGTAGAGCACTGCAGTGACCCCAACTGTTGGGGTATCATCTCAGAGGGCTGTCTAAAACTCTGGGTTGTGTGTATGCTGGGTGGAGGGATCTGGCCTTTGAGGGAGGGTGAGATGGGGGAGCAGTGGGAGCAGCACACAGATGAAGAACACAAAGCCGGAGGCTGGAACTTGTGTGAAGAGTGGCTGAGAGCCTCTTGCTGAGCCACTGGGGGTTGGTGGCTTTGATAAAAGGAAGATGGCCCCTGCAAACCTCCATAAGCAGGAGTATCTGTCCGGGAGAGCTGTCCACCTTCAGTAGTTATGCAGCCTGGAAATTCAGAACAGAGAGTTTTTCCAAATGTAATATGCAGTTGTTCCCCCGCACTTGCTACTTCCTGCCCCTAAGCCTAAAGGACATTATTCAACAAACTTGTACCAAGTATAAAAATTAATAAATTCAACTTCTGATTTCCAAAACTCAGTCTAGAATGCTGCCAGTAATAGCACCTGCAAGAACCTGCTTTAGCAGGCAGTTAAATTTAAGAATTAGCTGTTTTTACCAGATTATCAGTTCTGACTCTTTTCTTATCTTACTAAGGAAACCATGGGCTCCTTCAAATAGCACCCACTCGTTTTCTAACACATCAGCCCTATGGAAAGTCTGACTAAAAGAATCAACATTGGGTGTAGGAAGGGAATATGCTAAAAAGTAGCAAAGGTAAGACAGGCATCTCTCGGATAAGTCTCCAGATACAAGTCTGAGGAACTGTGTGTTGGGCAAGTAAGATGGAAGAGCATAGGGAAGCTCCCATACCAGGTCATGCCAGATACCAGCACTGCCCTCTGGAATCTCTGGGCCCCTAGTGCATGAATGGATTATATTATTGATCTTGTTTAGATGAAATTTACTTAGGGGAAGACAGCTTCTAAAGGGCATGGGGTGAGTTTGATCCATCTTTGGTCCTTTAGTGCCTAACCCAGAACAGGTGCCCACCAAAGGTATGCTGAATTAAATCAAAGGGAAGAGGGAAGTCAAAAATAAATCTAAATACCACTTATCATTGTGCCAAGTTCAAAAACCTTTCAGTGAGATTAATGGCATCAAATGAAGGCAGCAGTTGGTCATTATTTTAACAAGCTCATTAGGCTGTCAACATAGGCATGATTTCTATAATGTTATTACAAAGTCCTATACTGCCTCTGTCATTTAGCTGCCCCATCCTCCCCCGCCATACACACACACACACACACACACACACACACACACACAAAGAAAAAGTTTGCAAAGTGACTTCATGACCACTGGCAATCTCAGGATTTTTCCTGGGTATATCCTGACCTATCAGTAAGTTAAGATTTCCTATATTTATTCTTAGCAATTTGTTGAAAGCCTACGGAGTAGTTCCTAGCTTACCAAGGGAAGCCAGCTGCTTGGTCCAGAAGTTAGGCTCCCAGGTGAATCTGATACTCCAAGGGGAACCAGGATCTGTATTACAATTTGTCTCAAGCAATCGCTGCATCTGAAACACAATCTGACAACAGCACTAAAGGTCATTTATATGGGCAACTTGTGCCTGAATGAAACCCCCCTCCCTTGTTCTTTTGATAGGCTGAAGAGCTCAAAAGTCATGCCTCTTCAGCCTCAGGTCATTCCCCATATTCTCATTCCCTTTCACCTTAGTACCTTCTCATTCTCCCATCTGATCCTCTCCCTTTTGTCAAGGTTTCTGGGATCCCAACATTTATATCTCCTCCAAGACCCAAGTGATTTGTAATTCCCCCTCAGGACAACAGTTGCCCTAGACAGCTCCATTCATTCTACTGCCTCAATATAAGAGACTATACAGGGCAGACATTCTCTGAGCTCCCCATTGCTGTCCTTCTACCAACATACTTCCATCCTAGTCAGTTGCCCTCCTCCTCTGTAATTACTCTCATCTATTTTCCATCACTAACTCTTATCTCCAGGACTCTGGCAAGTATCCACTTACTCTGATATCATCTAGTTAACTACCTCGTACTTATTTGAAAAATATTTTAATGTCAGTCACCTTTACCCCATTTTTCAGCTCAGTCACCATATCTAGACCCTCTTTGGCATTTAGAACCATTCTACCTACAAGACCTTATACTCCAACAATCTACTCCCAGATTATAACTAGTTCTTACTCTTTCAGAGCATTTGCTTCAACTTTACTGGACTCTCTAAGCAGGCTCCACCAGTCCAGAGGGTCTTCCCAGCTTCCCATCATTTTACAGTATCATCAGTGCCCTAATTCTCTCCCCCCATCACCAATTCCTAAACTTAGGTCAATCTAGATATCCCAAAGCCATGTTATGCAGGGCTACATATGAGAGCATTAATTTCACCCTCAACCCTTTTTCTTATCACTTCTTGTCTCCTTTCTCTCCCACTTTTCTCAGTGACTAAATCTTCAGTGCCACTCACCCAATGCCTAACCCTCTTATTATCATTTTCAACTTCACAGAGGAAGAGACCATTAAAAAAAAACTCCCCTGAAATGGATCAAATTATGTTATATGCATGTATGAAGATGCCACAGTGAAACCCACTATTTTGTGTAATTATTATGTACCAATAAAACATTTTAACTCTCCCCCTGAAAAAAACTCCCCAAATGTGTATTTCCACACTGAGCTATATTATACTGTTCCTTTTCTGTTCTCCCATCTCAGAGGGAGTGTCCTTGAGTTTGAGTTCAACTGGTTCACTCTAGGATCCTACCTTGTCCTGCCTTGTCTGTATGCTTACTCCATCACACATCTCTCCTCCTTGTCAACCTATTCTCCCTTATAAATGTATGCATATGTTTGGAAAGGAAATTTTTCTCCCAACTCTGCCTCTTTCTCAAGCTACTTATTTCCCTTCTATCTCTACTTTCCCATGTTCCATCATTAGTCTCCTCATACTGGCTTCCTACTCTTCAATTTTGCTAGAACTTCTTTCAAAAGATCACCAGGAACTTTCTGATTGACAGATCTCATGTGTCTCTTCACTATTTATGCTGTTTCATTCAGTGTTGTTCTATTTCATGGACAACACTGACCATTTAAATTTGAAACTGTCAATTTCTGTGTACCACACTCTCCTATTTCTCCTCCAATTTCTGATAATTTCTTATCATTACTTTTCAGTCACCCTCTTTCTCTTACTACACAGAAAATGATGGTATTCCCTGGATTCCAGACTTGCCTTTCTCTTCTTTCTCCACACACTCTCCTAATGGTGATACCACCAATATCCCAGTGACTTCCTCATCTCAATCTCCAACCCTGACTTTTCTCTGATTTCCACACTCATCTACCAAAACACCTTTTTGATGTTGCCTTTTAGAAGCTTTACAGGCCCCTTAGACAACATATCCTAATATAAACTTCTCTCAAACTTCTTCCTCTTTCTCCTGGGTATCACCATCCTCCCAAGGCTAACACTTCAACTCCTCCTTTACTCTTAGCCTCCCATTCAGACCTCAATAACTTTCTGTGACATATTTGCACCACTGCTCATGTCCAGGACAATTTCTAAATCCATGACCTAAGACAAAGAACTACAGACTTTCCTAGCTAAGTTAACTAGAGGAAGGTGGAAATATTTTAGCACAAAAGCAGTGACTGAATTTCAAGGATAGATAGAGCTGCTTTTTCCATTCTGTTAAAAGAAAAGGCACTTCCCAGGGAAGCCTTATTACCCCTATGACAGAGAGGATGATATGAACAGCTTCAAGGACATGCTAAGGGATGGGAGGTTCCTCTTACCAGCTCTTTGCTGAAAAGGAAAGGAACGCTGGTTTTGCTGCAGACAGCCCAATTGATGAAATTCTGCACATGCTCAAACTGACGGTTGAGAACCACAATGCTCTGTAATTGCTGTTCCAGCTTCCGCTTTCTCTCATTAGTAATGCCCTTGGTACAGAGAGAGAAGACATAGTCTCTGATCTTGTTCTTAGGCCTGCTTGGGAACTCTAATGGTCTGTGTGTATTAGTGTAAGCACTGATGGAGTCAGATGAGATTGTACCCCTGAGAGAAGAACAGCAGGACAAAGTGCTGCCATGGGCTACTGACAGGTAGAGGAAGGGAGAGATGGTGGCAAATATGCAATGGATAAAGAATGAGGAAATAAATGAATGTCTACATCTCTTGGGAATAACCCACTGAAGAAGATGGGCTGCTTTGTGACACTTCTAAATCTATAACCTTGAACAGTCAAGGATGGCAGCTGCCTAAGAGAGTTTGAACTGAAAGTCTGAACTGATCTCATAGCACTTAATGAGCCATCTTCCCAAAATTAGGCTAGAAATTTTAATACACAAGTAATAGAGACCTATGGAAACTGCATATCTGAATTCTAGCCCCAGATGTTTTGGGCCCTGGGACTAGTTTCATATATGCCTGGTCTCTGATCCAGGAGAGCATAGAACTCATCCATCTGATCCATCTGTCTACATATACCTCCAACTCCTCTATGAGTCCATTGGCCTGTTTGTTTAGCTCATTCATCAGGACCATCTTGGCCATTTTGATCTGGTTTTCCACCTTCCTGTGCTGATGCTTCACTTCAAAAATCCTGTAAGCACAATGGGATGAAACAGAGTGAGCCCTTCCCTCATGGCCCATAAGGGTCAAGAGACAAGGAAGCTAAAAGTCAACAATTTAGAAGCTGCCTACAGAGATCAGGGCCCAGCAGGCACCAAATAAAGAAAAAAAACTTCCTCCACCCGCTCCCAACCCTTTGTAAAAGCCCAGTCCACTTGATCTCAGTGAGCCAGTGGCCCAAAAGTTAACTTTTGGGGTTGAAGATATAGCTCAGTGATAAAGTGCTTTTCTGGCATGTATGAGGCCTTGGGTTCAAATCCCAGCACCCTCACACACACACACCCCATATGTCACATCACCAAAAGTTAACTTGTTTTTTCTAGGCAAAACCTCAAGTCTAAGTCTACATACACATATATCCAGAAGCTCAACAGTTGGCATAGCACTAGACACAGGATGGAGAGAGTGAATATGGGCATGTCATACAATTTGGTGTCTAAAAAAGGATGATGCTCCAAGAAACAATGTCATGAGGTAAAAAGAACATAGGTGTTCTTCAACAGATGAATGGATAAAGAAAATGTGGTATATATACTAAATGGAATATTACTCAGCTTTAAAGAAGATAGAAATCATGGCATTAGTCATTAAATGGATGGAGTTGGAGAATATCATGCTAAGTGAAATAATCCAATCCCCAAAACCGAAGGCCAAATGTTTTCTCTAATATGTGGATATTAATTCACAATAAGGCAGGGGGCACTAGAGAAGAACAGTATTACCTTTGATTAGGTAGAGGGAAGTGAAGGGATGGGGATGGGATAGAATGTGGGGATAGGAAAGATAGTAGAATGAAACAGACATTATTACTTTATGTATATATGTGACTGCACGACCAACATGATTCTACAACATGTATACTCAGAAAAAATGAAAAATTATATCCTATCTATGTATGATATATCAAAGTGCATAAATGCTTTCTACTATCATGTATAACGAAAACAAATCAAAAAAATTATTAAAAAAAAGAACTTGGGTAGAGATGGAAAGTAGACCAGTCATTTCTGAGGACTGGCAGGGGTGAGAAAAGGAGAAGAACAAGATTAATAATGTATATGGGGTTTCTTTCTAAGGCGACAAAAATGTTCTAAAAGTAGATAATAATTACATACAATTGCACAATTTGGTGAAATACCAAAAACTAATTAATTATGCCTTTTTAAATGTTAATTTTATGGTATATAAATTATATTTCAGTAAAGCTATTTTAAAAAGTAAGGACAGAGGCTTTGAAGTCACCACAGACCTAGCTTCCAAATCCAGTTCAGTCACTAATTAGTTGTATGATCTCAGGTAAATCACCTAACCTCTCTGAACCTCAGTCTCTTCATCAATAAAAAGGAGATAATTCCTGACTGAAAGAATTTCTAGAATAAAAAAAAATAATTAATATATGATGCCCAACCCAGTCTCCCATGTGATTAGCTTTCAGTTCAATAATTTTCCTATAAAATCATTTCCAGTGATTTTATGTTAAAAAAAAAAAGTGTGTCACATTAGATTGGAAAGAGAGAAAGGATGGGAGAGGAGGGGAGTAATAGGGAGGATAGGAAGGGCAGCAGAATAGAATAGACAATATGATTGATGTATGTACATTCCATGTATGTATTATATATCAAAATGCATTCTACTGTCATGTATGACTAAAAAAGTAAATAAAAACAAAAAAAAATAACAATGATTTTATGTCATTGTAGATTTTTAAAATATATTTGCTTTTAGTTGTTGATATACCTTTATTTTATTTATTTATATGCAGTGCTGAGAACTGAACCTAGTGCCTCACACATGCCAGGCAAATGTGCTACCGCTGAACCACAGCCACAGCCCTCTTTTGTAGATTTTTATGGAAAACAAACTGCCACTGACTTGTTATAACCTCAAAAATAAATAGCAGAATTCTTCTCCAGTATCTACTGTGTAACTATTCTCAAGCAGGCACTTCTGGCTAGTTTCATGAGGCAAATATTTTGGCCCAGACGCACTCTGATCATCATGAGCCTCAGTTAACCAAGTGATGACCCAAAGACCCTCACCAGCCTTGAAGCCTCTAAGGCCAGGATGCCTGCCTTCTAGGACATGCCCACATCTCTTTAACCACATGTCTTTTCCATGGACACCACATCTAATTGCCTAGTGCCAGGACCTAGAATGTGAGGGAGCAGAGCATTTCTAGCACTGGCAAGGGACTAGCCTGTGCTACCTGTCCTCAATTTGCTTTGCAGATGTCTGTAGACTGGATTTCTTATGTGCCACCTGTGCAGTCACACTTTCCAGAAGCATCCTCTGGTTTTGTAGAACTTCTTCAACATGTCTGCATCTAGGGGAGGAGACAAGGAAAAAGCTGAGGAGGACTGGCTGCTATTCTGACCATGCTAATCAAGCAGGAGTCCCTATATTGTATAGTTTCAGCCAGGCCCATTGAGGCCATGATTATATCTTGAGACAAATGCACTGCAGGCTCTTGGCCCATTAAACTTTCTCAAGAGAAGCCATAACAGGAGCAGAGAAACACTTCAGCTCAAGGACTGCAGGTTGGCTTGGGCAGCAAGAGGATTTTGATGCTCTGGGAGCTATAGTCCTCACAAGTAAGGAGTTCAGAGTCCTCCCAAGCCCATTTCAGGCAACCCACAAGCCTCACCTATGTTCTTTGTGTTCCACCATCAGGCAGCTATGGCATGTGAGCACATCACAGGTCTCGCAGAATAGCTTGAGCACTTCATGTGTGTGTAGAGGACAGTACAAAGCAAAGTCCCCAGAATCACCATTCACTCCTGCCACAGAAGATAGAGAAAGTGGGCTTCTCCTCCTCTGGTAGACTTCTCAGTTAAGTTCACTGAGCAGCCTTCAGCCCTCAGCCATCAACAAATACCACAGAGACTCAGAGCTTGGGAGAGGTGGTACAAACAGGATATGCTTCTTTCCAGGATGGGCAAGAAGAAAAAGGAGGAATTTAGGCTTAGCCTAGGAGGATCTAGGCTCAGCTGTCCAGAAATAACACACCACCAAGCCCTAGCATCCTGCCACCTGCCAGAAGCTGAGGAAGGTGCTTACTAATGCTGTATGTGGATCTCCTGCAGAATAATAAACCCTCTAAAATTAACCTAAACTTCTTCATTAATTAGAATTGTTATCATGGGATTGAAACCAGCTTCTTAGCCTGGCCAACAGCTCCCTTTCCTAAGAGTTTGACAACTGTAGAACCCCTTTCCCCATAATTCAAGGGCCTTAATAAAAGCCTTTCAAGACTGTCTTTTATAACAGACGGTGTTGGATGGACAAAGACAAGCCATGATCCATACTAAGTTAATAAGTCACTAAATAGAAGTGAGGCATAATTGCTCTAAACAGAGGTAGAAGGTAAAACTCAGCTATCTCCCATGATAATTCAAGATTATGCTCTCTTTGGGGCTGGGTTGTAGCTCAGTAGTAGAGCGCTTGCATGGCACATGTGAGGCACTGGGTTCAATCTCAGCACCACGTAAAAAAAACATAAATAAAGGTATTGTGTCCATCTACAACTAAAAAATTAAAATTAAAAAAAAAAAAGATTATGCTCTCTGCACCATCTCACCCACACCTACCCACCCGACCCCAGCAGGGAGAAGCTGGAATGAGTCATCCCCTTAGACTGTAAAAGAGACTTCCTCCCTTTGAGAAAGGCCCTGGAAGCACACTTACTTTCTCCCTTAGCTGGGAAATAATATCAGAAAACAATTCTCCAGGGATTCTGAGGTTTACTACTGCCTCAGGGCGTGAGAGCCAGGTGGGAGAGGCAGGAGTGGTACCTGAAGATCCCTTCTGGGCCCTGGGAAAGATCGAGCCCCCAGGGGCAGGGCCATGCCGGTGTTCCTCTGTGCAGGAGCTGCACAGCCAGCGATTGCAGTAGGTACAGAGGATGTGTGCTGCCCTCTTCTCCTTGCACTCAGAGCAATTCTGAAAGTAGAGAATGTAGAATTACTAGCCGTATCTGCATTGCTCTGCAAGTATCAAACTTTCCAGAGACTGGGGTTTTGCAGGGTTGTTCTTCTACTATTTGGGGTACAGTCTACTGTAGAGTCACCTGGCAGTGCTAGTGAGAGAAAGCACCCTTTGTAACAAAACAGTGGATGCTCTAGGTGCTGTTCACACAAGTTCTGTGCCAAGGCTAAAGATACTCAGATGAATAAGCCAAGGATCTACCCTGAAGGCATATACAATCTAGGCAGGGTGGTGCCCATTAAATGGGTAATGCTGTGATAAAAAGATGTGATAGGTGCTAAGGAAGCAAAAGGGGGGTTTCCAGGAACTTGACCTAGAAGTGGTCAGGAAAGTTTCATCAAGAGGTAATGTTTGAGTTGGATAATGAATGACAAGCAGGTTTACCAGGCAGACAGGGAGGAAAAAAATATAATAGAGGGAAAGCACAATGGGGTGTGGTAGTACATGCCTATAATCCCAGCACTCAGGAGGCTGAGGAGAAGGGATCTCTTTAGTCCAACTATTTGTGACCAGCCTGGGCAACACAGCAAGATCCTGTCTCAAAAAAAAAAAAAAAAAAAAAAAAACTAAAAATAAGACTTGCGCTTCAGCGCATGCTTGTGAGCCCAATGACTTGGGAGGCTGTAGGAGGATCACAAGATTGAGGCCATCCTTGGCAATTTAGCAAAGCCCTCAGTAACTTAGCAAGACTGACCCTGTCTCAGTCTGACCCTGTAGCTCAGTGGTAAAGTGCCCCAGGATTCAGTCCCCAGGACAAAAAAAAAAAAAGCAAGGAAAAGTAGAACATTTAACCTGCCTTCTGAGGGGAGAAAGCCCCAGATTTGGTAGTACACAGAAAGATGACCATATACACCCAAGATAAACCAAGTATAGAAAAACTTTCAAAGCTGTGTTTCCACTCCTGGGGTCTGTCTGGCCTGAGAGTACCTAGTCTTTTCCTTCATTTGGTAGCAAATACTTTGCTAGGGCTGATGTAAAACATCAGAAAAAGAGAAGATTTGGGGAAACTTGACCTGTCTATGCTGAATCATACAGGCCATCAAACTGAAATGAAGTCTCAAAGTTTTATAATTATACTATAAATTCCTTAGAAATTGAATGCATGCGTCTATGGGTCTATATCCTTAGCACATAGCATAGGGCCTGATACACAATAGATGTTCAATAAGAATCAGATACAGGAACAGGTAAAAAAAAACTATTGAATGAATAAATGTAATAGTAAAGATACCCCAGTGGAAAGAGGAACAGAAGGAGTACCAGTCAGTAAGTGATGTGAAATTTAGAAATAAGGAGAAAAGTGATAGTTGTTAAACACAGGCAAAATTAATGGGCCCATTAAATCGAGGCTAGTGTGTACCTTTCAACTTGAGGGAAAAATGGAAATAAAAGCCCTGTACTTATGTTTTTCAGTAAGAGCTATAAGAAAGAGGAAAACACCTAGATAAATTAAGCAATACTTAATGTACTTTAAAATACATTCACCTTCCACTAAAAGCATTCACACACACACACACACACACACACATACACACACACACACACACCTATGTGTGCCACATACACACACCTATAATTTTCACTTGATAAAAAAATTCCTGCTTTGCCTCTCCAGGCTCAAAATCTTTTATTTCATTTTAGATAATAGATGGATGATTGGACAGATGGATGGATGATTAGGAAAATCAATGGAAGAGGAACTATCAGAGTAATGGGTGAAAGACTTATGAAAAGACACCTCACAAATCTGAAAAGGATCACCTTTTGACTTACCCTGGCCATTTTGGGGTGCCCAGTAGGAAAGCACTGTAGAAAAAAATGTTCAGTTACATCCCTGGTAAGATACACTCGCTTACATCCAGGACAGGAGATGAGCTCTAGGGGGAAAAGAATGACAACAGAGTCAGGGCAACATAAAAGATTATATACAAGGCCTAGGCAGAGACTTTCAGATATGCAGCATCAAGATATGTGGAAATAACCACGTAGGCCAAAATGAGCTGCATGTGATGACATAGTCTGCTGTTACAGTGTGGGTATTTTGAACATGATCATCCCACCAGAGGCCTTCCCTTCAGACCGTCTGGTCTCCTCACATTCCTATTTTTACCTGTTCCTACCTTTCTCCCCTCATGTAGTAGAATGAACCTGCTACTACAAACCCAACCCTACTCTGCTTCTGATAATCAGGTACCTTCCTGCAGCTCTCTTCCTCGTTCCACATCCCAAATCCCAGCCGTATGCATGTATATGTATATGTATATGTGTGTGTGTGTGTGTGTGTGTGTGTGTTTTAATTCCTGAATGATCAACTTGACTTTTTCCTCCCCAGAAAAATGCAACAGTCTCTAACATATTCTTCCACAAAGTGCACTTCTGAACTATATAAGTGGCATAAGACTGACACCCCGGAAGCTACTGTGATTCCTCAGGCTCATCCCAAAAGTAGTCAGCCAACTAGAAACAAAGAAATGAGCTACTCAATTAGGGCAAGATACCTGTGTCCAGGCATGAGAAGGACCCAGAAAGGGGTTGGCTATAGAAATAATTGCAGCAGTGCTACCAATATTCTCTGTCTTATCTCATTAACATAGAAATGGATGATACAACAGCAGTTGCTCCAGATTTGCAGTTGGACAAATGTAAATCCAAATACCAGATTTACCATCCAATGACCTTGGGCAAATCACCTAATCTCACTTAACTCCCCTGTGCTTGTTCATCATATATAAAATGGGAAGGAAAATAAGCATTGCTATGAGAATTAAATTAGATGATACTTAAGAAAACACATAATCCAACTGGGCACAGTGGCACACACCTGTTATCTCACAGACTAGGAGGCTGAGAGGCAGAAGGAAGTTCAAAGCCAGACTCAGTAACTTAGCAAGACCCTGTCTCAAACTAAAATTAAAAGGGCTGGGGGTGTAGCTCAGTGGTAAAGTACCCCTAGGTACAATCCCTAATACCACAAAAACAAAAAAGAAAATTAAAGAAAAAAAACACATAGTCCTCCATGGATGTTACCTCTGAATTCAAAAGATTCCTCATATTCCATTCATAGCGGAGCAATAGCCTCAATTACCAACTGGGCTTAGATTCTCTTCCTGGCGATGAAATCCAGAATGAATAGCAGATTTAAAAAGTTGCCACCAATTCTTCCCCTCCTTGCATCTATTTCCCTAATAAAAAAAGTAGTTCTTTCCATCCTTTAAATCTAGGCTGGTCCTGTGACTTGTTTTGACCAATGAATTGCAACAAAAGCAACAATGACCAAGTTCCGAGTTTAGGGGCTTTATGTGGTTCTGCTCTTGCTCTTAGAACTAACTCTAAGACTGCCATGTGAAAAATTTAAATTGGGGCTCAGATTGTTAGAAGATGGCCTTATTTGTTAGAGAGAGGCCTTAGTTGTCTTACACATCCCCCTGAGGCCATCCTATACCAGCTAGCCCCAAGAAACCTACAGGTTGAAACTCTGACACAAGAATGAGTAGAGTCAAGATTAGCCAAGTCCAGCCTACCCCAGAACAACCACCCAGAGAATCTAAGCCCAGATTGTCAACCTGTAGAATCATAAACTGAATTAAGTTCAGTTGCTTTAACCATTAAGTTTTGGGGTGCCTTATTGTACAGCAAAAGCTAATTTCTATAATCTGGAAAAATCAAAATCCACAAAATCATTTAAATTATAGTTCAACATTGTTTCCCCCCTGCAAAAGAAAAACTCCCCTAGTCTTTGCAGAGTCATGAATATTAATTACAGAATTGCATCTGGAATCTCCTGGGCATTTTCCCACCGGTCAAGAACTGTGGCCAGAGGTAGAGAAGGATGTTCTTTACAGGAGACATCATCCAGGCAATCAGGTAGCTTCTAGAGGAAGCCTCCTTATCTACCTGTCAGTCAGAAATGCTGCTCTAATTGTCAAAAATGATTTCCCCAAAACTTCTAATTCCCTGGTACCAGCTGCCCAAGCATTCATCACAGTAACATTGCCTCATTAACAGAATGAAGCCAAGCACAGTGGCACACACCTGTACTCCCAGGAACTAGGAAGGCTGAACCAGGAGGATAGCAAGTTCCAGGCCAGCCTCTTCGATTTAGTGAGACCCTATCTCAGGTTAAAAAATAAAAAAGCTAGGATGTAGCTCAACAACAGAGTGCCCCTGGATTCAACCAAACCCAGTACCAGGGGTGGGAGGGGATGAAAACAGAGAAAGAAATGAATCAATCAAACAAGGCCTTACCACACATCCTCTTGTGATGGCCTTAAAGCCAAAATACTCAGTCTGTCATTCAAGAACCTTTTTCAAATTGGGCTTATCTCCCTCTAGTATCATCTCTAGCTTCATCTTCCAAGAATACTGTTTTTGCCACACCAAATATTTCTGCCATCTCCTGAACAGAACAAATCTTTGTGTGGCTGTGAAAATGTTGTATCCTCTCCCTGAAATACTTTCTTGTTCCCCTTCTATACAGATAAACTTCTATCCATCCTTTCAAACCTGTTCAAATATCCCACTTTCAAGAAGCAGAATTTATTTCCCCCAGAATGAGTTAATTAGTTCCTCTTCTGGGTTCTCATAGCACCTTGGACATCCCATAACAAGTATCACACTGCATTTTAACTACCTGTTCATATTCTACATACAAAACTAATCCACAATTACCATTAAAGTATAGTTTTCCTAATCCTTTGCCCACTATAGCTAGGCTTCTGACATATTCATCTGGGCAAGGTGAGAATGGACAGCCAGCCAATTAGTAACCTGGCTAACATCCTTGTACGATACTCTGAGGACAGGCTTGGGGCTGAGGGGAGGCCTGGATTTAAGAGACCATCCTTCTGAAGGGGTATGCTGCAGAGAGCAGAGATGGAGAATCATTGTACCAAACATGTACTTATAATATTCGTTGTTAATTCAGTTATTGATACATATTTAAATCATACCATACATAAAATATTATTTGTAATAGTTCTTATTTCTATTTGAATTATCAATCAACAGGCTTGAGCTTTTATTTCACACACAGGAACATCAATCCTGAGAGCCAGATCCCAAGGCCATCTGATTGTCCCAGAGAAATGGGGCTTCTGCTTCCAAAATGAGGAAGTTTTATAGGCACCAGAGATCCTCGTGGGACCTAGGGACATGGGAGAATAGTTGTGAAAGCCAAGGTTGTTCAGGCCATCAGTCATTAAAATGAAAACTTCTGGTCCCAAGGAGGTGTGGGGCAAATTTTCATCTGTTTTCCATAACTTTCTGTGCCAGGCACTTTACATATGTTATCTCATTTAACCATCAGACCATCTTTGGGAAATAGGCATTGTCTCCATTTTACAACTGGAGGTTCCAAGAAGTTATCACCTTTCAAATATCATACAAGGCCAGGCGTGGTGGCACATGCCTATAATCCCAGCAGCTTGGGAGGTTGAGGCAGGAGGATTACGAGTTCAAAGCAGCCTCAGCAAAAGCAAGGCATTAAGCAACTCAGTGATACCCTGTCTCTAAATAAAATACAAAAAAGGACTTGGGATGTGGCTCAGTGATGGAGTACCTCTGAGTTCAATCCACGGTACTCCAAAAAAAAAAAAAAAAAAAAAAGATCCTACAGGTAAGGGCAGAACTGATTGGAACCCAAGTCCATCTGTCTCTAAAAACCATGCCTTTTCCACTATGTTTTCTCCTTTACAACTAAATTGTACATAAATAAGATAATTTAATTAACTAGGCAAATGATTTAAATAAAATATTCCATAATAATATTCCAATTATAGGAACTGTGGCTGTGGCTCAGTGGGGTTGACTAGGGATATACTCAATGTTAGAGTTCAGAGCACTTGCCTAATATGTAAAAGGCCTCAGATCCGATCCCCAGTGCCACTCAGGTGTGCGTGCACACACACACACACATACACACACACACACACACACCACAAATCCCATGCCAATTAAATAAGAATTTCAGGAGGTGGTCTAGTCATCAGCATTTTTTTAATGCTCCAGGTGATTATAATTTATTACCAAGTTTGGGGACCAGCACCTTAGAATTCTCTCTTTTCCTGGTAGCTCTGTCCCCCATATCATGAAGATGAAAAAGGCAGAAAGTTCAGAAAAACTATGAATGTAGCTGTGATGGATTTCCCCTTTGGCAGAGAAAAGGGCAGATTCCCAATAGACAGAAGGATGTCCTGATACCCAGATACCCTGGGGATTGGTACTAAATTGGAAAATACATTTTGTCTCCCTTGATTTAAACCTTAACTAAAAGGCCCAGGCTTAGGGTGTGGCCTGAGGTTTGGCAATATGACAGGGGCCTAGAGAATGTGCTGAGCCTAGGATTTAGTGAAGCAGCCAGGAAGGAAGGCCTACTCTGGTTATTCTACCCTTCACACATGAATGGCAGGGCCAAAGCAACCTGGGCACCAGAGGATTAGAGTGAGAGAAAAATCCCAAAGAGGCCTCAGAAAGGTAGTATTATGTGAGCTTATGCTACCAGGTAAGCACAAACATGCCAGATGCAGAAGCCTGAGTCCAATGTTAAGGGTTGAGAAGCCTTTCATTCCTCAGATCTTGTCCATGGATCCAGGCAACTTTGTAGCTGGGGCCTACAATCTGACATTGACAGAGTAGTGGGATATTCTAGAGCAGCCTGACGCTCCTCTCCTAGTACCCACATGTAGAATCAAAGCTGGACAGACCTTCACTGTTCATCTAGCCTATCCCCTACCACATGAAGGGTGACATAGATGCCCGAGACAGGCAGGGACTTAGCTAAAACTCACATAGCCCTTGTAAAACAGGGGGTACCCTGAACCACTGAACAGTCCTTGATTCCCTCTATAGCCACAGGTAAGACACTCTACCTCACTGTGCCTCTACCAAGCACTAGGCAAGGTGAAAAAACACTCTGGTTGCATGCTCTCACAGGTTGGTCATTCTCACTAACCACTCATGCCCTCCCACTCCAGACAGCCCCAGAAGGCATCAGGTAAGGGCCCTACCACAACGCCTGAAGTCGACCTCTAACCCATAATTCAGAGAGTATCACCTTCAAGAAACATGCTGCACCCACTCTTCAGATGCTCAGTCTCTGCTAGAAAGACAGACTTCAATTCAAGACACTCCTAAGATGATTGCCAAATTTGCCCCTGGCTGCCTGCAGGCTTACCTGTCGCCCTGCTGCCCTGTGATTAGAGCAACACCTTGGAGAGAAGTCAGAGGAGAGAAGTCAGAGGAGCGACAGGTAAGACCACCACAGGTCCCAGAGGATGGTGCTTGCCAGGAGCCCAGGAGCACCCCCCACTGCATGCTGCAGCCAGCAAGGCTACAAGGCCTAAGCCTCAGGGAGCTGGGTTGTGGGTGGGGTAGGGGGAGCAGCCTGGAGCTTCTCCTCCTTGCTTTGATGCACAGCCAGGGCTGCATTTCTCTAGCTCACCTGAGATGCTCCTGCAAGAGAGAGCTTGGTTGACTCCTCCTGTTCCTGTTTATCTCGAAGCCTCTGCAGCAATTTTCCCAAACTGAACAGCAAGAGGGAGACCTCAAAGAGGCGACTCTCTTCCTAGCTGCATCTCCTTCCTAATCCTCTGGGTGCCTTGGAATAGAAGCTCAGAAGGAAGAAAACGAGATTTTCAACTTTCAGGAACTAGCTCTGTCGCCCTCTGCACAGCTCGGGAGGCCATCACTCTCAGCCTTTTAGGACTCGATCCAAAAATCCTTCAGCCCTCCATGTTCCCCAAAATGACAGTGCTCATGTGTGGCTGGAACCTGCCCCGATCCGGCAGCTCATTTAAATAGAGCTCATCACAACAACAGTGTTGGTGGAGAAGTGAGTAGCTGCAGGGCCCTGGGGACCCCCTGTTTATACGTAGGAAGAATGATGCAATCTGGGTATCAAAATAGCAATCCAGAATGGAATAACAGGCTCACGCAGCAGCGGTGCCTGCACAGCCAGAGCTCAAGTTGACACACTCTGACAGCCCCATACTGCTGCAGCACGCAGATGCCAGGCACACACTCTCACTGCATCATTTTAAAAAACAGCAGGAGCCCGAGAGATCCCTCCATGCCCCCAGCACTGAAGGAGGGTGTGGGGGGGGGGCTACGTCAGACATTAAAATCTCTCTCCTACACACTCACCTGGCTCCTGCCACTTCACCTGAAGTCCTTATCCTGTGACGTCACAGTCAGTTGCTATAGTGACCAAAGGTCCGTCACAAGCAGAGGATTAGGACTTCAGATGGAGAAGACACATATTTTTGATGCACAATGGTCCTGGAAGGTGTGTTCCTTGGCAGCTAAATCTACCCCCCAGAGAGATAAAGTCACACATAAGCAGGAAGGAAAAACAGGGTCGAGTTGGAGGAAAGACATTAGGATGTAGCAAGACTTCAAGTACTGGATAATTACAAAATCTGAATGAGGGGGAGCGGCAGGGAATGAACTTGGAGAGACTGGCAGGAGAGTAAGCTCTGAAAGGCTCTGAATGCTAAGCTAAGGAGCCTGTCCTTTATAGTAAAAGAAAATGCAAAAAGGTTCTGAACCATGACTGAGCTGGGCTTTACAACTGATTATCATGGTGAACTGGAAGCAGGGAGGTCAGAAAGGAGGCTTGTCCAGTCAAATATTAATGAAATCCTCAATGAGGACAGAAGTGGAACAAAGGGACAGAAGAGCTGGGTTTGATGGCACATGCCTATAATCCCAGCAGCCTGGGAGGCTAAGACAGGAGGATTGTGAGTTCAAAGCCAGTCTCAGCAATTTAAGGAGGCCCTAAGCAACTCAGTGAGACCCTGTCTCAAAATAAAATATAAAAAGAACTCAGGATGTGGCTCAGTGGTTAAGTGCCCCTAGGTTCAATCCCTGGTATCGGGGTGGGAGTGGGAGAGAGACAAAGAGAACTGGTAGGACATGACCAAAATTGGATGTCGCGGGTAGCAGTGGTATGTTGAGTCAAGTGGATAGGCTGTCACAAACAGAGACAGGTGGAAGAGGAAGAGGGCAATTGCCAAATCCCATCTTATCCTTCCATATTTTTCTTTCTTTCTTTTTTTTTTTTTTGCCCTGGGATAGACTTTAAAAAAAAAAAAATAGGTGTAGATGGACACAACACAATGCCTTTATTTTTATGTGGTGCTGAAGATCGAACCCAGGTCCCGCCCGTGCTAGGCAAGCGCTCTACCACTGAGTCACAATTCCAGCCCCTCTTTCCATATTTTTCTATCCATGCCTGGTTATTCCTATTTGATGACACCCATAGGTTCAAACTCACCCAATTTCCCCAGTGCCTAAAACAGGTCAGAAAACTACAGCCTGCCTGTTTTTGTAAATAAATAACATGGTTATGGAACCATTTATTGGAACATAATCATGCCTATTTCATTTCTGTTGTTAATGGCTGCTTTTGTGCTACAATGGCAGAATTAAGTAGTTGTGACAGACTTATGTCTAGCAATGACATAAACATTTACTATTTACTCTTTTATACAAAAAGCTTACCCACATCTACCCTAAAGCAACAGCTTCTTAAGTTGTTCTAACCTCACCCTTTGGGATTCAATTATGATTTGGGGGTTCCTGTTTGTTCCCAAGGCCACTCTTATTCCTGTGAGCTCTAGTTCTGATAACTGATTCACATTTGAGCTGGACCTTTAAATTTGGGTAGGATGTTACTAAAAAGGAAAGGGAATTCAGAAAGAGGGAACATTATAAACAGATTATAAATGCCAAAATGTAGGTCCTCTCTAGGAGAATATTAGTAAGGCTAAGACATGTTGAGAAATGGTAGGAAATGAGGCTGTAAAATTAATTTGAGTCCCTGTTGGGAAGAGAATTGAAGGCACTAAGTTTCTATTCTGAACTGAAAGAAACTGGTAGGCTTTAGGTAGCTAAAATGTAGGCCCAGAGTCAGAGGGAATGATCAGGGTTGAAGCTACAGAATTTGGGAACATAACTCAGAATGGCAATAGGTACAATGAGATCAGAAAAAAAAAAAATCACTATAGGAAGGAATACAGAATAAGCTGAGGTCAACCAGGAATATCCAGGAGACTGAGCAGCAACAGATCTGAATGAAGTCATAAGCTGAACATGAAAGTCAGGTGACTAGATGAGGCTGGAGATGAACATATGGTTCACAGCCTTCAGAACCCATAGTCCTAGGAACCATTTAGCTGAGACAGGCTTTTCATGCCAAGAAAATATCCACAGTGGAATGTTGAAGATACAGGTGAGAGTGGGGGCTCATCTCATTTGATAGTACCTCTGCCTCTTTTGACCCTAAATCTCAAAGAGTCAGTCCAAAATTTGACATATTGATAAACTCCATGCAAAGCCAATGAATGACCCCATTTCCAGCTGGGCCTGGGAAGAGAGACAACGGGGGAAGAATCTAGAGCAGCATTACTCTAGGTCTGCAGTTTTTTTTTTTTTTTTTTTTAATATTTATTTTTTAGTTTTTTTCGGCAGACACAACATCTTTGTTTGTATGTGGTGCTGAGGACCAAACCGGGGCCGCACACATGCCAGGCGAGCGTGCCACCGCTCGAGCCACATCTCCAGCCCCATCTAGGTCTGCAGTTTTTACAGCCTACAAGCCCAAGCAAACCCTGGACTGCCAGGCAAGGGAGTTAGACTTTTTTCCTGGCTCTGCACATGAACAATTATGTGAACTTCAGCAGGATCTTGGCCTTTTCTGGGTTCCAATGCCCCATCTGTAAAGTGAGCATTGGAGACGAACTGAAAGGGCTTTTCCTATTCTCAGGCCTCTACAGCACTCACTCAAGCCCCCTTGAATGAGAAATTTCCAGTGACAAAAAGTTCCTCCAGGACCCCCTCCATCAATCATAGGAACCTTGTTTTTGTGACACTGAGGATTTAACTAAGGGTCACTTTACCACTGAGCTACATACCCAGTCTTGAAAAAAAATTAATTTTTACACTCAAATAAGAGTCTTACTTATTTGTTCAGGCTAGCCTTTAACTTATGATTCTCCTGTCATAGCCTCCCAAGTTGCTAGAGTTAAGGCAAGTGCCACCATGCCTAGCAATCAGAGAACCTTGCACTCCCTTCCCTCAGCAAATCTGTTCCAAGCATAGCTTCCTAGTCAGTACTAGCACGGCAAGCACATCCCCCCAAACACAGCCTGCCTCCTTCCCAGTACCAGGGGAATTGTTCTCACAGTAACAGGTACTGTTCAGAGGTGCCAGTGCTACTCCCAAGACCCTAGAGAGCCAATTAAGGTGAGGAAGCTGTTCATGAACTAAAAAGCCACCCCAATGATAGGGCTCTGCAGCTCCAGCTTCTGCACCTGCCACACACCCATTCAGAACAGCTCAGCAGCCTACCCTCTTCCTAGGAGACTTGGGTCCCTGCCTGCACCAGACTTCAGAAGGTTGGACATGCTGTTCAGCACCTTGAATAAACAAACAGCAGTCACCTGCCTCCCAGGCTCCTGTGGTTGAGATCTTAGCCCCTGCCTCCCATTCTCACCAAAGACCATTAGAACTCCTCCAGCTGAGCTGCTCATTAAGATAAGAGTCATTTCCCTCTCTGACTTTGAGGTTGTAGCATCTTGCATCATTTCCCTTTCTTTGGATCTTCCCCAAACCTCCAAGGCCTGCCCACCAAGGGACAGTGATTGCTCTCCCTTTTAGTATTAGCAGTGTATAAGAAATATGCTGTCACCCTTAACTAGCTTCAGGAAGCATGGAACTGTGGTAGTTATTTGATATTTTTAGAGTTAATCAAATCCAAGCCTGAAAAGCAGAGAGGGTCTGGAATTGTCCAGTCAATTCTTGCTAGAGTTCAGATGAGCTCTAGAACTGTGACATTTGGACCATTATTCTTCCCACATCTTGATTAGATCCCCCACTTTGAAAATGAGAAAAGCAAAATTTTAAATAGGTAGATTCTGAAATTCAGATTTGAGAATCAAGGTCTCTCAGCCACACAATTTGTTATTTAGTTGTTTTTGTGTGTGTGTATGTGCGGGGGGGAAGGGGGTTGAACCCAGAGACCCACTACCACTGAGCTATCCCGGTCCTTTTTTTTTTTTTTATTTTGTATTTTGAGACAGGGTCTGATTAAGTTGCCTAGGGCCTCACTAAATTGCTGAGGCTGGCCTTGAACTTGCAATCCTCCTGCCTCAGCTTCCTGAGTCACTAGGATTACGGGCATGCCCACAATAACCAGCATTATTTAGTTGCTTTAAAGAGGAAAAAAATGATGATCCTTTTACTCACACAGGGAAGAAAATACCCAATTAATTGCCACCTACCCCCAAACAACAAATACAACCATAGGAACCCTGAGAATCTTGAAGATGAGCCAGCACAAGGTAAATATTTCAGGGATGCTGACTCCCTTCAGAGCTTGCTACAATTATTTAAAGTACCACTTTTGGTATTCAGTTGTTAACTGTCTGGGTAGAATTTGACCTGGGGACCATTTTCAATTAGGCTTAAAAGGAAATACAGATGCTTCTTAACTTATGATAGAATTATGCCCTGATAAACCCATCATAAATTGAAAATATCATAAATTGAAAAACCATTTCATCCATCTAACCTACCAAACATCATAGCTTATCCTAGCCTATCTTAAAAGTACTCAGAGCATTGAAATTAGCCTATAGTTGGGCAAAATCATCTAACACAAATACTATTTTATAATAAAGTATTGAAGTTTTCATTGTAATTTACTGACTATTGTATTAAAAGTGAAAAGCAGAATGATTGTATGGGTATATTCTTTCACACAATCATAAAAGTCAAAAAATTAAAAGCTGAACCATCTCAAGTAGAGAATCATCTATAGCCCTGAGCAGATACTCTAATTGTCTGAGTAGCTCCATTTCCAATATCCAGCCTTTCTGCATAGAGCCTGCAGCTCTAGTCATCCCACTGCAGGGCTAAGCCACTGTGTACTCAGCACACTCCAACCTTTACTCTGGTCTCCATCATCAGCTTTTAAAGATGTTTCC